TTTTTGTTTGGGGGTGGGGGGTGGGCAGGGGCTGGCGTGGGGGTACGTTGGGTGGGAAAGAGCCGAGGGGTAGGGGTGAAAAAATAAAAATTTGAAGTCGAAAGTATTTTTTTAAAACAAATTTCAATTTTTTTCCGGAGGAGGATGGAGGTTGATCGGGTCGCGGGGGGAGGGGTGGGGGTAAAACTATAAAAATATGAAATAGAATTTTTATTTTTTTGAAATTGATGTTTTTTTAAAAAAAATGTAATTTGAAGTTGTAAGAGAGTTATGGAAAAATTTTCCTTAACTTTTCATGGGAATTCATTTTCCTTGATTTTGAGGAGAATGAGTTGACTTACAAAAAATTTTCAAAATTTTTGTCCCAACCTAACATGAGAAAATTAAAAAATATTATCTGAAAAATGTTTTCCTTCGCACCAAACACACCCTTACTTTAATTTGCTTTTTTTGTTTCATAAAAAAAATATTTAAATGGTAAATGTTAGTCAGTTAATGTTTAAATTTTAACATAAAAGGTAACTTTTTTCCACTTTATAAAATGTAGGTTTTCTTTATATTTTATATGGTGGAAGTGTTTTTTATATTTTATAAAGTGGAAGTTTTAATCCTATTTTACAAAAAAGAATTTCTTTTTCATTTTACATTAAATTATGTCTCTTTTACGCGGTCTTTGTAAAGGATGTTGTTTCGACATTTGCTACGAATCCAGATGCCATGTGATACATGTCTATGTTATTTATTATTTGTTTGTTTTGAAATATTTTTATTATTTATTAATATCTTAATTTTATATTAAATTAATTTTTAATTACTTTTTAGATTTATACTACGGAGCCTTTATCACCCTGAACTCTAGCTCTAAGATAATCATAGAGGATGTTGTTTCGGCATTTACTAGAGATCCGATGTTTTACAAATTTATTTTACTTATTTGTTTGTCTTGAATATTTTTATTAATTATTCTCCTTAAGTTTATATCAAATTTACTTTTAAATATCAATGAAACTGACAAAATTCTTATCTAACTTCAAAATCTTCCAATGTTAGACCAAAAGTCAAACTCTTCAAACCTTAAGCCTCCAAAATGGCAAAAACCACTCAAAATACAATCTAGAGTCTGGAGTTTAAATGTAACGACCTGTTTAGTCGTTTTGAACGGCAGATTTTATTTCTGG